GGGGGCGGAGGTGGCGGGCGACACGTACCGGGGGCATCGCACCGGTGGCTGGTGATGCTGGGCGTCTGGTCGGTGGCCAGGGCAAGCATGCTGGCCAAGACCAGGAAAAGGAGCAGGGCGCCGGGCGCGCGCCGGAGCGTGGCGAAGGTCATCCTGGCGCGGCTCGCCGCCGAGTGGTGCTCAGGGGGGGGGGGGCGGGCAAGCGGCCGTGGGACAGGCTCGGGCGCCAAAAGGGGACCGGCGAGAGGGGGCTGGGGCGCGCGACCGGGCGCAGGCTAGCAGGGCAGGGCGAGGCGAGCGTGGGGAAGGCAGGAGAGCGGCACCCTTTTCCGGGGACAGGGGGGGTGGCACGGGGTGCCACCACTCGCCGCCACCGGCCCCGGGCCCCGGGCCGGGGGCGCACATATATGCCAGCTTGCGGGCGCATGCGGGCGGCCTGCCCGCCGGAGTGACCGGCATCGGCCGGCGCCCTTGCGGCGGGGCCGGGCTGCCCTCTTTTCGGCCGGCTCGATTTGCGTGCGGCTGGCGAGCCCGAGGCCGGCGCGATCTGGAGCCGGGTCGGGCCACCGCCCGCCGATCATCGGCGTCGGCGCGAGGGGGCCGATCGGCGGGGCCGGGTCGCGCCCTGTGGGCGAGGTCGGCGCGCGCGCACCCAGCTCGGCACCGGGGCGCCGCAGGGCCGGACCGGCGGCTCGGGTGCCGCGCCCGGACGGCCTCGCCCGTCGCATGTGCGTGCGGCTGTCGGCGAGCGGCCCGCGCCCGGGCGAGGGGCATCGGCTGCGAGCCGCCCCCCTTGACGCGGGGCCGGGTGTGCGCCGGGCGTCCGGCGAAGTGCGAGCGCGCGCGCGCCCAGGTGCGGCCGGAGCCGGGGGCGCGATCCGTTGCCGGGCGGCGCGCCGGCGCACCAGGCACCCCGGCCAACCCCTGGAGCCGCCGCCGGGCCCGGGCGCAGGCCGGCGAGGCAGGCACACCGGGCCTGTCCGCGCCCGTCTCACCAAAATGCCCCCCCTGGGGACGTGGATTGCCGACGCTGGGCCTTCGCCTCCCGGGCGACCGGGGGGGGGCTCCGTGGGGAGTGCCGAGGTGGCACTTGGCGATCTGGGGCCGCCCCTTTTTTTTCCTTTCTTTCTTATTCGCCCCCTGCTGCCGGGAGGGCGACGCACCGTGGCGCCCGGGGCACGCCGGCCGGTGCGGCCCATGCCCCATGTGTGTGTATTGGATGGACATGCCACGGGTCGCGCACGCGCGCCTGTGCCCCCCCCCCCCCCCTTGAAGCCCGGTGCCTCGCCGACCGGCTGCCTGCTCGTTCGCGTGGCAGGCGGGGCTCCTGAGGGTGGCATGCAGCCGGACGTGCGCCGGGGGGCTGCTCATGCACCGCCCCGGTCCGGGCCCCCGGCCGGGCGCCCTCCCGGCCGAGCCTCCCTGTTCTCCGGGCAGCCCCCTTCCGATGCCGCCGAAGGGCACATCATGGGGTCGGAGCGTCGGGACAACGGCCTGTCTGTCGGCCTGGTTTTGTTTGTCAGAGGGGCCGGTGGGGGCGGCGGCAGCGGCGGCGGGGTCATTCGCCCTGCCGCGTGGCACGTGCGCCAGCACACCCGGTTGGCCGGGAGGCCGGCAAGTGGCACGGCCGGGGGCGGCCCATGGTCGTGCCGCTTGCACGCATGGGCTCCGGTCGACAAATGCCCCGGTCCTCGTGGCCCCGGAGCCACACTGGCCAGGCAGATGCCGGCCACCGCGCCGGGAGGAGGCCAGACCCCGGGCATGCGGTGCCCCGAGCGGGCCGTGCCGCCGGCGCGCACACGCCCGGGCAATGGACCGAACAGGCTGATGTTCGCCGGCGGGCGGGCGGCCACGTCCCGGGGGGCCCGGCCATGCCTGCAGCCAAACGCCCTGTGCCGATGGTGTGCTTCGCCACCAGGGCCCCGGCGAGGGCACTCCCGCCCCGGCAGACGACGCAGCTCCTGCGGCCGGCTGGCCGACAGGCAGTACGGCTGCTCTTTGACTGTCGCCGCGGCCGCCGCCGGGCCAGGGCCGCACATCCACCGGACGATGTGCCAGTCGCCGGCGGAATGGCCAGAGGGCCTGCCCCCCCCCCTCCCACGCCCCGAGGGTGCGAAGGCGCGCCGTCCTCTCTCCCGCCGTCGGGCGAGGGGCCTGAACATCACACACTGCGCCTGAGGCCGGTGCGCGGCCGCCCAGTGCCCCGGCCAGGCAGCGGGTGGAGAGGCGTCGCCAGGAGCCGTGCCGTGGCCGGCCCATGGGCTCGACATTGGGCACTTGCAGCTCCGCGCGCTCAGCAGCCCCTGGTCGACTGGAGGCCGCACGGGGCGTGGTCCGGCCGCCCGGCGGCGCGCTGGTGTGGCACCAAGTCGCCGCACACCGGCCCCGACATGCGGCCGCGGAGGGCGTGCGCCCCCGCAAGATCTCTGCCCGGGAGCGATCCCGACAACTGCTGGCCTGTGACCGTCGAAAGGGGTGCAGCCAGCCGCATGGCCGCGTGCGCGCCCCCCGGTGCTCCGGAGGCCGCTTGGGACCCCGACGGTGGAGGCGCCCCCGACGAACGGGCACCGTGCCAGGGCACGCGCGTGCGAGCCCTCGCGTCGGACCCGGAGTCGGACCGCGCGACGGAAGACCAAGCGAGCGACCTCGCAGGGGACCATGGCACACGCCGTGGCGAGGCTGCCGCGGGCAATCGGCTCGAGCAGCATGCGCCCTGGGGGCCGCGCTCGGCGCACCAGGCGCGTGCATTGCTAGGCGGGGCGGGGCGACCGGCCGGACAGCGGGCGACCGACCCGGCGCTACTTACGCGCTCCGGACCATGGGGGCCGGGACAGGCGCGCGCTCGACCCGAGTGGCCGGCCTGCGGGTGCATGCACTCGGCCATCAGCATGGGCCCGTTGTGGTCTCCACACGGTCGGCGCCGGCGAGCGGGGCGCCCCGGTGTCAAGGGCGCCTGTTGCTGGGGAAGTGTAGTTTGGGGTTTGTGGGCTGCATGTGGGATGTGCTTTGGCACATGTGTGTTGGGGGTGCTCTTGGGTTTTGGAGCACCAGCCAGCCTGCAAGTGGCCGGTACGCCTGCCGCCGACGGGGGGCAGCGGCATGGGCACCGCCGGCGCGCACGGCCGGGCGCGGCCTGCCCACCATGGGATCCCGGGCACCTTTGACCCTGTGGCCCGGGCAGGGGCCGCGAGGCGAGGCCATAGTCGGGCGCGGCCCGAGCGCGCCCACCCGGCTGTCTTGACTGCTCCGAGCGGTGATCTGCCTGGCGCCGGCCGGTTGTAGGTCGCCGATGTTGGGGCCCGCGGACGCCACACAATGCGCGAGGCCCCAGGCCCGACTCGTCGCATGACGCGCCAGCGGACACCCATTCGTGGCGGAGGTGGAACCGGCCGCGCGGCATGCCGGATGCCGCGCACGCGCTGACAGCCCTCCAAAGTGGCCCCAAGCCCGGAGCGCGGGCGGCTTGCCGCTCGGCCGGCCGGCCGGCCGGCCGCCTCACGGCTGCCCCCGGGGCCCCGATCTGCGGCACGTGCAGCACATCGGGCGGCGAGATGGACCGGCGGTCCTGCCACACCGCGGGCCGGTCGGGGAGGGTGTGCCGGGGCACGGCGGCGCGGGCGGGCTCCCGGCCAGGCGACCGCACGGCGCCCCTGGCCCGCGAGAGCCGTGCGCTCCGCCGAGCCAGCATGGGCTGCCCCGTGTGCCGGGCGTGCTGCCCGCCGCTGCCCAGGGGGGCCGCCGGGATGGTGGACGACCGAGGCTGGCAAGGAGAGCCGCCCCCGGGTGCGTCCACGCCAGCCCCTCGGCCGGGCTGGTGAGGGCCATTCGATGGCATGTTGCCGGCCGCGCCGTCGTCCCCCGGCCACCGCCCCCCGGTGCCGTGCATGCTGCCACGGGCCGGCCGGGCGCCCCCCAGCGCGCCCACAATCCGCCCGGCAGGGCTAGCCCACAATGGACCACGATCACGCGCGGCGCCAATGGAGGCCACAAATGCCATTCCACTGCCAACTCCGCGGAATGCCCACGAAAGCCGCCCGCCGTCCGGCGAGCCGGCCCCTCAAGTGCCCACCCATCCCCCGGGGCCGGTTGTTGATTGTGGTCGAGGAGCCGTGGCGGCGTGCCCGCAAGTTGCGAGCTTCGCACACCCTGGCCACCACACGCGGACCGGCCCGCCCGCCCCCCGCCCCCCGCCCGCCCCCCTGAGGCCGGGGTCGCGAGGGCGGCCGGGAGCGAGGGCGGCGTGCCCCGGCAGGCGCGTCAGGGGGCCCCGGCGGCGGTTGCGATGTGTGGGGCGTGTCCGGTGTCCGGGAGCAGTCCCCCCGGCCTTTGGGGCGACGGCGCGGGCCCGCGACCCCTGGAGAGGCCCTTACCACTGTGGGCTTGCAGAGTGGTGGCTCCTGCTGGACGGAGGCCGCCGCCGAGCAGAGGGTGTCCCTGGTGTTCGCCCACGCGGCGCCGGTGGCCGGCGGATGGATGGGCGGGGGAAAAAAAGGTAAGGGCGACCGACAGGTGGCCGCCCCACCGGGCACCGAGGAGGGGGCCCCCATGCCCGGCCGGGAGGGCATGCCCATCCGACGTCGATGCAACACACGCCGGTGCCATCGGCACCGGGGAAAAGGTGCCGCATGGGCGAGCCAGGCGTGCCGGCCCGGCCTGGCCGTCTCGCGAGTCTGCCCGGCCCGCGCGTACGGGCACCAGCCATGGGGCCTTGACAGTGCTCGGGAGGCCCCGCAGGCATGGGGGATCCGGCTGGCCGCTGTGGTCCCTCGGCCCACGGCCCGGGGGTGCCCGGTCTGTGCGCCCGGACCCCGGCGGCTCGAGGGCAGAGGGCGAAAGGCCCGCCCGTGCCTCAGTGCCACAGGGCGGGGGCGGTCGGGCTTTCGGCATTCGCCGGGCCTCGCGCCGGCTGCCCAGGCGAGAGGGGGCGAAGGATGCGGGGCCGTGCTTGGTGCCGGCCCATCGGCGGCGCGGTGTCCGGATGGCAGCCGGGGCCCGAGGGGCGCCCTCGTTGGCTGGCCCGGCCCGGCCCGGCCCGGCCCCATGGACAGGCACATGCGTCCCTGAAATGCGATTGGCGCGTGGGATGGGATGGCCCCCGGGGCCCGGATCGGTGGTCGAGATGGCGAAGCCGGGCGCCACGCGACAATGGGGGGTCGCGCGGGCGGCCCGGGCGAGCGGGCGGCGGGAGCGCCGACAACAGACCGCCGCCGGGATGGCACGCCGCCGCGCCGTCCTGCCCGCCGGCCATGGCCCACGGGCCGTCCTGCCCGGATGGAGCCGCGCAACAGGGGGGGGGGGGGGGGCGTGGCGGCATGTGCCGGAGGTGGTGGCAGCCCTGGGAGCCGGGTGCGCCGGGCATGGTGTCATATCCGGCCGGCGCACCTTGCGCGCGGGGTCGCCGGCCGGTGTCGGGACCCCCGGGGCCAGCAGGCGCCCCGCTGGTGGCCAGGGGCCTGCCGAAGCCGGGACCCATGGTGCCGGTGGGGCGTGTGCTGGGTGTGGCCGCGCCCCGGGCCCTTGGCACCGCCTCCCGGGCCTGGGGCTGGCGCCGGATGGGGTGCAGCGGGTCCGGGCACACGAGCGCCCGTTTCGCCCCGGCGTGCGATGTCACGGCGGGGCAGACCACCGCGCCGGCTGGGCCCGGTCCCGGGCTCGCGGATGGGCTGGCCGGAGCGCCGGGCCGCCGAGCAGCGGGCTGCCCCATGCCCGCTGGGGCTGCCGCCCAAGGCGCCGGGCATGGGCGCGCTGCTGCCGGTCGGGCGAGGCGAGCGAGCGCGTGACACAGGGGAAGCCAAGTCACCTATGTGCAAGGAGGACGGGCAGGTCGCCGTGCCGTGGCGCGTGTGTGTGTGTGTGTGTGTGTGTGTGTGTGTCTGCCCACGAGCGAGGCCAGGGGCCGAAGGGAAGGGGCAAGAGGCCGTGCCCTCCCGGCAACGCACCCCCCGCCGATGGCGGCCATGCGTGCGGGCCTCCTCGGCTGGGAAGACGCCGTGCGTGCGGGCCTCCTCGGCTGGGAAGACGCCGTGCGTGCGGGGGCGCGCGCGCGCCCCGGTGCCGGTCCCATACGGTGTGGGGCACTTTTTCCTTCCTCCTTCCGCCTCTTTGGTGTGAGTATGGTGACGGAGGTGAATGCGCTGGCAAGTGGCCCATGGCTGGGGGGGGGGGGGCAAGAGTCTGATGGCGGCTGTTCGGTGTGCATGCCGCGGAAGGCGACCGGGGTCCCTGCCTGTTCGTCGCGCAGGGGGAGGGGGGGAGATACACGCGACGCCACCAGGGAGGTCCTGCTGTGTGTGTGTGTGTGTGTGTGTGCCGCTGCCGGAGGGGGGGGGGGAGGTGCCCGATCCCAGGGGCGGGCGAGACCACAGCTGTCGAGTGTCCGGGGGCGGGGCGGGGCCGACCTTGCGGGAGCCCGCCACACCGCCGCCTCGCACGGTGCCAGTGTCCCCGGGTGTCGAACCCGGGGGGTGAGGTGTGTGTGTGCAGCTGGATGTCTTTTTATTGCCATTTCCGTGTCTGTGCTCATGCACGCATGCCTCCCCGCGCGCTTGGGGCGCGTGGTCCGCCGGGGGGAGGCTGGCCCGGCACGTGGGTGTTGGCTCTCGGTCCCGCGAGGGTTGGCCAGCAGGCCCGGAACCAGAGGGGCCGCGGGCACACAAAGACCCGGTCGGCAGCGAAGGGCCACCCCTGGCGCCGCGCGCCATGCCGGGACTCCCTCGACGGCGGGCCGCGGCACACCGCGACCCGGGCCGGCCTGCTGCGTGGGCGGCACCCGCCCCGGCCGGGCTCCGGACGGACGCGGCCGAGCACAGGCCCCATGTGCAGACACGCCGCTCCCCTGGCCACCTTCCCTGTGCATCCCCCCCCCGCCGCCGCCCCTGCGCCCCGCCCCCCTCCCGTCGGGGCCCGGGCCGCCAGGCCACAGCCAGGATAGTGCCAATTGAACAGCGGTGTATATGCGGCCAAGTGCGCGCCTGCTGGCGTGCCCCCTCTCCTGGCCAGGACACGCCCCCCGGGGGGCGCGGGCCGGCCGCCGCGCCCCCTTGCGGCCTCGGCTCCCGAGCCCGCGCATCGGAGCGGCCGGGCGCGCCCCCACCGGGCCACCGGCCAGGGCCAGAGCAGGAGGGGCGCGCGCGGGCGTGCGCGAAAGGCGCCGACTCTGCCGGGCGCGCCCCGGCCGCCGGCCAGCCGCGGCTACACCGGCACACACGAGTACCGGTCCTCGCTGAGGACGTGGGTCGGCTTGCAGAGCAGGCACTGGACGGCCCGGCGGGCGGCATCGTGCGGGTGCTCGACATAGCAGGTGATGCAGTTGGCCGGGCAGGGCACGGCATAGCGGTTCTTCTGGTCCTGGTAGAAGAACCCCCAGCCGCTGAGCTCCAGGGTGTGGACCACACACCGGGCCGGGGCGGCCGCATTGAAGGACCCGGGCTCCAGCTGCTTCGGCAGGGGGGCATTCTTCGGGCCGACGCTGCACTGGAGGCAGCTGGCCCCCAGGCCATTGCGGCAGGTGCCGCAGCCGCCGCCACACGGGTGGCACTGCTTGCCCTGGCGGTAGTAGCCCTCCGGGCAGGTGGCGAGGCAGGCATCATTGGCGAAGAGCCCGTGGCCGGTCTTGCACTCGGTGCATGTCCGGGCCCCGGCGTCGCACACGGCGCACTCCGGGTCCAGGCAGGGCTCGCAGTGGCCGCCATCCGGGAAGTAGCCCTCCGGGCATTGGGCCACGCAGGACTGCCGGGCGCCGGGGGCCCGGGGCCGGACCAGCAGCATGCCGGCCGGGCAGGCGGTGCAATTGTCCGTGAACCGGTGGCACTCGAGGCAGTGGCCGGCGCAGGGGCGGCAGGCGCGGCTGCCGGGCGGCAGGTCCAGGTCCCAGGTGCTGCCGGGGCCCGGGCAGGCCGGCACACAGGTGCCGCCCTCCTCCGCCTGCAGGGTGTGGCCCTCCTGGCACCGGAGGCAGTGGTCGGCCGAGGCGCAGCTGGCGCACCCCTCGGCACAGGCATGGCACCGGCCCTGGTGGGGGTATTTGCCGGCCGGGCAGGCCGGCTCGCAGACATTCTCATGCAGGACGTGGCCCGGGTGCTGGCAGGCCAGGCAGAGCCCCGGGTCCTCGGAGGCGCACCGCGCGCAGTGGGGATCCGCGCAGGGGGCACAGCGCCCGGTGAGGGAGTCGCGCGCGGTGCCGGCCGGGCAGGCGCGCCCGCACGTGCCATCCGCCTGGGCGAAGAACCCGCGCAGGCAGGCCCGGCACATGGCCGGATTGGCCGGGTCGCAGGTGAGGCAGTGCTGCCGGCAGGGCAGGCAGGCCCCCTGGCCATTGGGCACCGTGGTGGCCGGGCAGTGGTGGTGCGGGGCGGCCCGGTCGCCGCCGGCCCCGTACCCGCGCACGCACGCCCCCACATGGACCTGGCCATTGGCGAAGGGCTTGGTGCTGTGGGCCAGGAGCAGCCGGCCGGCCGGGCAGGCGGTGCAGTCCTTCGGCCCGGGCCCGGCGCACTGCGCGCAATTGGCATGGCACTGGAAGCACACGCCCGGGGCGCTGCAATTGAGCAGGCGCCCCGGGCCGGCGGCCGGCACCCCGGGCAGGTCCGCCGGCGAGGGGGCCATGCTGGCCATGGGCCAGGCGGCGCAGTCGAAGCCATCCGGCAGCTGGTGCCGCGGGATGCAATGCATGCCGCAGGTGACGTGATCGGCCGCCGGGCAGGCGCTCACGCACCGGCGGTCCTGGGCCATCCAGTGCCCCTCGGCGCACACCGAGCACTCCTCATTCAGGTGCGCGTGGGCCGGGGTCTGGCAGCCGGGGATCGGCTGGGCCGCCGGGCGGCACTGCCGGTCCGGGGCCGCCTGGTACCGGCACACGGCACAGGCGTTGTAGCTCCCGGGCAGCACGTGCCAGCAGTCCGGCGGGCCGATCGCCAGCAGCTGGGCACTGGACACGGCCATGTCCGGGAGCTCGTCATTCAGGAAGGCAAACCCGTCCACCGGGCGGTAGCTGGCCCGGTACCGGTCGCACACGATGTCGTCGCCGGTGTATCGGGCCAGCATGCATCGGCGCAGGGCCGGGAAGCAGTACTCCCCGTCGGCGGCCTCGCCTGGGCGTGTGTCCGGGCATGGGGGCCGGTGAGTGGGCCGCAGGCCGGGCCGTGGGCGAGCGGGTGTGTGTGTGTGGGGGGGGGGG